CAGAAATTTCTATTTAGTAAAACTAAATCAAAATAAAGCTTGCACTATTCTAGACTAATCTATCCTAAACTAATTTAAAATAGGTTTAATCATCTGATACTAAGAGCCTAATTACTATTAATCCAAAAATTTAATCAATTAAAATTAAAATAAAAGGATTTACGAAAAGAAGGCAAGATGATAAAAGTATGAAAAATAGAATCAAAAAAACCAATAAATACTGTGTTGTTTTCCATTCAATAAAGGATATATTGTGATCTGTTTCAAATTATTTTAGGGTAAAATAGTGATCTATCTAAAAAGATTTGATCTTAGTATGCGTAAAGTAATAAGTAGAGGAGAGTAAACCAAAGATGAGTAATTTGTTATTCAATGATTGATATAACTGCTTATAGAGGAAACTTGGTACAATTCCTTTGATAAATTTGAAGGTTAAACAATCTTAATCAAGATTTTAAATATTTATGGATATTATGGTTAAAATATCAAATTGAGGATTAAGTTTAATTAGATGCTAAGAAAGAAATATAATAGTATCCAACATTATGTTATTGAGTTAATGTAGGGTAGTCTGATATAGCCAAATATGATTAAAGATTTCTAAATCAACTAAGTATTTAGGATAAGACCATGAAGTATCATATAAATTAGGATAATATCTTTTGAGGATCTCAAGTATCAGAAGAAGCTCTAATAAGAGTTTAACTTTAAATTTGCGGATAGATGAGACTTTATATGATGCAATTTTGTAGATAAATGAGACTTTGTATGATGTGATTGAGGCACTTTCATTGTTATTAAGAACAAAGGCAGTATTAAATCAGTCTACGTCTAAAGAGGAATATTTGTGAAAATGTGAAAGTAGTTGAAAGTTGTGAAAGTCAATAGATTTGAGAAGGTCTTTGATAAATTGTTTTAGTGATATTAGAATAACCTTATTATTATAGTTGAGAGTATACTCATAATTTAATGCTGATAGCTGAAGTGTAGTAAATAAACTAAATTCTTTGGCGAGTCAATCAACTTTATTATTATAGTGATCATTAGCATGTGCTTTAACTTTGAAAAAGTAATTGAAATATTTCTGTCTTTGATGATGTGAAAGAATAAATATCAAATGGAATAATAAGAGATTTTAAACGTGAAATTGTAAGTGGAAGCATAAGTAAGGAAATAGTTCATTTTTGAGTAGAAGGAAATTGTAACTTGTAAATCAGTAAAAATATCAATATTAGCATTGACTGGTGAAATGAAAACTGCAACCAAGACAGCTACTAGTTCTGCTAAAGAAGAAGATAGTTATGAGAGAAATAGTTAGGCTTTAAAGAAGCGAAGAGATCAACTTGTAACCAGGTAATTTCTATATAAAATGCTAAACTTTCTAAATTAGAAAGAGAACTGCTAGTATAAAATGAAAGGTTAGTCAATTGTAAGAATATTATCAATAAGTCCTCTAGTTAATCTGTTATATCTGAGGTAAATATATTAGGAAAAACTAAAATATTAGGGGGAGGTGGAGTTTCTATATTAAAATTTGGGTTTAAAATTATTTTATAGTTAAAAGTGCTATTTCAAAAATTATATAAGGAGATAAAGAACTACGGTAGCTATTATGATAGGTAGGCAATGCAAAGATTCCAGAAACTTATATATAAATTCTCAGGAAATTTTAGAAGATTTTACTATGATCTTTACTCACAAATTTTTCTATGTAGTAATTTTACCCTTACATAGCATTAGAGATATTTTACGTTACTAAAAAATCTACCTTTTTAATAATATATAACATTTAAATTTTTATTATTTAAAATTCATCTGAATTGCTATTATTCTGATTATGAAAAATAGAAATAAGTTATTTATAAGTATCAGAATTATTTAAAATTTCATAAATTTGTAATGATTGACCTGTTAACATAAGCATAGAATTACTTTGAAAGGTAATTGTATTATCTTTTTCAAGATAATAAACCACTTTTTTAGAAGTTATATGTGTAAATAATTTTCTACCAGCACAGTAATCATTAGTAAAAAGAGATCCACTATTGAGTATATTTTCATCAGTTAAGTCAAATATTAATTACATTTTTAATATAAGATATCACAAAAACGTCTCAGGTAAAAAGAGTTTATTGATAAATAAACAAACTAAAAGAATAAAATACTAAAATAAGAAATGCAAAAAAGAGAATTAATCACAAATAGGAAAAAGTAGCCTTGTATTAATTTTATAAAAGGGAAGATTATACACAGTTATTACTGAACTGATCAGATTGCATCTAACAATTGATAGTTATCTTTTCTAATGAATTTAGTTCTCTATATATATATTTAATTTATATTAAATATATTAACTATATTAAACATATCTGATATATTAAATATATTAATTATATTAAACATATTTAATATGTTTAATATATTTGACATTTTTAACATTTTGTATTATGTTACATTTACAGATCATATGTAAATCATATAATTATTACCTTATAACAGTATTATAAAAGATTTGTTACAAATTCTTATACTAATTTACTTAATCAATCCCTATATATTAATATAAATATAAATATTATTTTATAAAAATATATTAATTATTATTTAAATTAGAATTCTTATTTGTTTAATAAAAATCTAATCTTTATTGATAAATTTATAATAAATGTCTCATATCTTAAACATCAAGAGTCCTTACTTCATAAATACAGTTGTTCACCTCTCTTATATAATCACATTATATAAATTTCTCATTATAAGCATATATTTTATAAAAATTAATATCTATTAATACTATATAAAATTCTTTATAATCACAATGATTTTATAGTCATACATAAAAATGACGTCTTAATTAGTTGCAACAGGTAATAAATAAGTATCATAATGTTGCAACGAATTATAACGTTATTAAAATTTAAGTTGCAACAGGTGATAAATAAGCGTCATAATGTTGCAATGCCATCTTTAGTCACATTTTTTCAGAACTAATGCTTAATAATAATATATAAAAATCTTCATTTTTATTATAATTACACTTTTTATTTTTAGTTTTAAAGGATATAACTATAAAGAAAAATGACTATAAATGATTAATCAATAATTAATAAATTAAGTTAATCTAAAATTAAAATTATTAGTAATCATAAACTGTATTACAAGTTGTAATATTAAATAAATCTATTTATTATTAGATTAAAGATTAGGTTATATTTTTAAATAACTTTAATACTATTATTTAGTATTTCATACAAATCTAGATCTAATCTGAATTTAACAGATTTGATTCAAATCTGATTCAAATTTAAATTAAAATTGATTATTAATTTAATCTAATTTATTATCATTTTTTTGAATGATTATTATTCTTTTTGAATAATTTATTATTATTTTTCTTGAATAATTTATAGTTAAAATATCATTTTTTATTCAAATTAGATCAGATTAGATTTGAATTTAAATTGATCTGTCAGATTTAGATTAAATTCAGATTTATAAAATAAAAATTAAATCAAATCAGATTTTATTTAAATTTAATCTAATCTGATTATGTGAAATACTAATTATATGTGATAAATAATATGAAAATTATTATTTAATATCTTTTGATATTATATATTATTAAGATTATTTGTCTAAACTTATTTTAGATTTGTAAAATGTTTAAACTTTAATTTTATTAATTTTACTAAGATTTTATATTCCTACTAGTATAAATTATAGTATAATTTTAATGGCTAATTTTAGTAAGTTTAGCGATTATAAGCTCTTTTAATATAGTTTCATATTTTTATAAGTTATGATATATTTTTACCTTTTTTGAATTTTGTAGATTTTTTAATAAAATATTAATATATAGTCAGACTTCTATAAAGTTACATAATCAATTTCCTAAAAAAATAGTAATTATATAGAGATATAATTATTATAAAGATATAAATTTTTAATTATTTTAATTTTGGTTAGAATTATAATTTTTATAATTTATAAAATAATGTGATATACAAATTATTTCTATTTTTAGCAATAACCATTTCATAAAAAATTTATGTAAATAGTAATTCTAGTTAAAATTATAAGTTAAAAATTTAAAGTAAAAATCTTTTTCATCAGATTTTATCTAAGAATTTTTATATAAAAAACATGTATATTCAAAGGTGACTAAGGCTTAACTTGCAAACAAAAACAAAAACTTCTTATTCAACTTTCTTTCTCTTTTTATTTCTCTTACTTATACTTTGACGTGAATTAATAAATTACTAATTAAATTGTATTTTGACTAACTTAATTGTTTATTAATCATTTATATAAATGTTAAATTAACGTAATTAATTTTGAAATCATTAAAATTAATTAACGCTAAAATAAATCTATATCTTTACCCAAAAAAAAATCGTCTGTTATTAGTTTAAATGGTATTTTTTTTGTTAAAATATTTTTTCGTCACTTTTCTCAGCTATTTTTCTTGTTTGTTTACTTTTTTCTTTTTATTTACAAAAAAATGGGCATCAGAGGGTATCTGAAATGATAGTGATACCTTGAGGGAAAACCTAAAATCAGCATAGGATAGCATTGAAACCAACTATTGTAACAAGTTAATTAATACTATACCTGAAAGTTAAGGATGTAATTAAGCCCTTGGTAGTGGTAAATATTAATAAATTTGATTAATTTGTAATAATTAATATTTTTTAGATAAATATTTGATACGCAGTATTGATATTTGAATCAATATAATAAATATGCTTTAAATTTTTATATTGAATTGCTTTAGTTTTGATAATATAAATATAAATAAAAAAAAAAATTTATTGTCGTACAATAACTAAAAATAAAAGTAAAATTTTTTTGCCCGGGTGATGTATCAATTCGCAGTAAAAAAATGTAAATTTATCGCCCAATCGCATTACTTTTCAAAAAAATTAATTCATTCTCGAAAATCGAAAAAAAAATTTTCATAAAACCAATTTGTATTATTTTATTTGTATCAGCTAAAGAACATGCCCATTGCATATCGTTTACGTTCAAGTAAAAAGAATTTTGATAATAATATACAATCCGGTACAACACCCGAGCAACAACTTTCAACTCCTTCCAATAAACCTTCAAAATCGAAGGCGAAGAAAAATGTGAACTCTTCAAAGAATTCAAAACCTAAATCATCAGTTGTAAAAGGTTCAAAGAAAACAGAAACAAAAGATGATACTGATACTGAGCATTCATCTGCCGCTGATCAAAACATTCAGATTCCTGAAAATAGTAAAATAACTCCAGGAATCGATGAAATTGTTTCTTTAAGTAAAGATTCATCAATTGAAACATTAAAACCAAACGATATTGATAAATCAAAGTCCATCGAAACAAATAGTCAAAATCAATGTATTAATGATACAGCTGAAGAAAGTCAGCCAATTAATGAGACCGAGGATAAAAATGAATCAGCAACTTTAGAGAAGAATGAAACGAATGATAATGAATTGCGAGACCCTGTAGATAATATAGCTGAAAATATTCAGGGAAACTTAGAGACAAGCGAAGCTCAGGTAGATTCAAAGAAAAGTGTACCTTCTGAAACAAACAACGTGGTAGAACAAACTACTTCACAGACTGACTCCGGTGATGAAGCCCCTGAGACAATTTCTATGTCAACTAGCAGAATTCAAGCATTGGATATCAAAAAGAAAGAGCGTGAAGTGCAACAAAAGTGTGTCATTATTTCTACATTCTATCCTTTTATTTTGAAACTCAATTTTAATTTATTAAAATAATTATTTAAGGTCATTGGAAATTAAGAAACGAAAACGTCGTGAAATTGATGCTAAATTAAAAGAACAAAAAAGTCGTAAAGCGGCTAAATTAGAGAAATCAACTGATCCCAGAGATTCTAAAGAAGAAATTGATATTATAAAAAAAATAAATGAAGAAGGTTTACCAAGATTCTTGCCCACAGAGTTATTAAAAGATTTACCGAATGATGATAAAGTTAAAAAAAAAAGGTTCGAAAAATTTTGAACGGATGATAGTAAAACTAAGTTTAGCTAGATTAACTGAAATATTTACTTTGTTGTCAGAAAACAACCGGAGGAACCTATGCAAATAAAGTCTAAAATGAGCAAAACTGAACTACAAAGTAAAAAGGAAAAATCTAGGAAACAACCTAACACAGGGTAAGTTACAAATTTTAGATATTCGGAGTAATTTATTTGCATAATTCATTTATTGTTCTATCCCAAAAGACCTTTCACCGTTGTTGCTTTGCAAGATCCTAATTTTGATAAGTCAACTCCAATTGCCAAAGGAGTTGCAGAATTTAAGGAGGATCATTTTTATGGAGAAAGATTACCCAGAAAAAACGGTAAAATCACACGAACATAATTTTTTTTTAACAGAAGAAAGGTTTCTAACGAATTATGTTTATTAATCAGCTATTTTGAACGCGAGCCAAGGGAGAAGAGGCGCAGCTATTAGGTTTTGTCGAACATAATAATATTTTGGAACTACCAATATTATTATTTAGGTATAAAAATAAAAACCAGGTTTCTAACGCTCAAAATCTGGAGATAACCTCCTGACACCACGAATTATTCTCGATTTTTTCTTGATATTGGTTTTTAACCGTAGAAATACGTTCCAATATTGATTTATAATCCATGAAATCTATATCAGGAGTATTTGCTATTTCTTTAAAAAATTCTTCAATAATAGTACTTCCTTTCTATAAATAATAGCAAAATAACTTATTTAGGAAATTTTCAACTAAGCTATTTAAGAATGATTATCATTACCTCGATAACTTCTTTAGAGAATTTTTCTTTATCGTCCTTTTCTTCGTCTATTTATATATAATAAATAAATAATTTTAATGTGATAGACGTATTAATCTAATAATATAAAAATTTATGAAAAATTTACGTTTGGTAACCTCTTCCAGTTGCTTCTCTTTTCTTCTTGCAAGCTATTATTTTTTGATAGAAATAAAATGTTTATTATGTTTATGCAAATAAATATTACTAAACAAAACATTAAATTTAAATACCTTAACAACAGTATCAGGAAAATTTGCCAATTCCGCAACATGAATACCAAAACTTTCATCACAAACACCTTAATGTAATAAGGAAAGATGATCAAACTCTCCATTCTTTTCATTAAAAGACTGTAACATATTTAAAAGCAATTCCTAACCTTCATTGACTTTATACAATAATGTAATATCTCGTCCACCCGAAGAGTTTGACCCAATATGTGCCGTGACGTGTAAATTACATACATAAGGAACTTCTTCACTCAATGTTGTTAATTCATGAAAATGCGTCGCAAACATACAAAAACATCGAATATGCGTCGAAATATATCTTTGAAATAAATACAAATTAATTATAAATGGTCGCGTAAAAGATGTCCGAAACTTTTCGGTAAAAAATTATTAAAATGAAACAAACTCTGAAATTGCCCAAGCTAAACCAAATCCATCATAAGTGCTTGTTCCTCTTCCAAGTTCATCGATAATTATCAAAGAATTTGGGGTTGCAGTCTACGAAGCATCAATAATGAGATTGATGAACGTGAATACAAACAAGAATTAGAACATAACTGACCTTTAGAATATTTGCCGTTTCCAACATTTCCGCCATAAATGTAGAGACACCCTTAAGTTGACTATCACCGGCGCCAACTCTTGCAAGAACGCAATCAAATATACAAAGACTTGCTTCTGTACAAGGGACAAAACAACCAACTTGCGCCATCAAAGCGATAACACCAATCTATTCCGCCGCAATCCAAAAATAAATATAAAAATTAAATTAGTAAAAATTAGAAAAAAAAAAGTAATATCAATATCATATCATACGTCACGTACTTGGCGGATATAAGTTGATTTTCCTCCCATATTTGGTCCCGTAATAATTAAAAATTCATGTTGACCTACAATCCCAATTGAAAGTTAGCATATGATTTAGAACGATATATATTAACATTAATAAAAATCCTTACCTCTTATTAAGCTAACATCATTTGGTATAAATGAAACATCATCTTGCACTTCTATACAAGGATGACGTGCATTTTTCAATACAACATCTCCTACACCTATTAATAAGTGTCAGTTAATAAGTGTCAGATTAATACATTTCTCTAAAAAGATAGTGATTTAATTTTAAAATACCTTTATTATACATTTTGGGACGAACGTATGGTATTGGCGCATGAACCGAAACGTGTGCAAAACTATTGAAATAGATGGCAAAACACGCATGTTAATCAGTAATAAAAAAAAACTCTGTCTGCGTTTACTAACACATACCTAACTATGACATCAAGATGAGCCAATAATCCATTCAAAGTTTCCAAAGTAGGACAATAAGATGCTATCAAATTAAAAACGTTAAAATACACAAATTATTCTTCTCACTTGTAAATATTCTAATATTTAAGTTATTTACCTGCTATATCAATGACTTCTTTGACTAATAAACTTTGCTCCTTTTCATATATATCTAAACTATCAAAATACGATGTACTCAGTTGTCTTAATTTAGTGGTTGTAAAAAATACGCCATTACGCTGCGTAGCAAGTTCAAGATATTGTTTTTTTCCACGGATACAAGTTGCATCCTATTATATTAAATGAAGAAAACAATGAATTAAAATTCACAATGTTTCAAGCTAAAATTCGCAAAGATATCCTTATCATAAATACATTTCGAGTAATCCTAAAACAATATCCATGAGTATTTTGTTTTTCAAGATGCAATTTTTTGTCCATGTCAAGATTCTTTCCAACCTATATACAGATAATATTAATATCCAATCATCTTGTAATAATGATAGATTTGTAAAAGATCTTGCCTTTTCATATTCTTCATCCATTTCCTCTTTGACTTTGTTAATTTTATCTTGGATTCCTAAAAAATAAAAAAAATAAATAAATAAATGATTTTTCACATAATTTCAGCTTATTTATTATTATGATCATTATGATACTTTCTAATTCATTGTAATGCGCTTTAAAAATTTTCAATTGTACACGAAATTTCTATAAATATATATATTTATTTACCCTTTAACTCCGGATTGAAATCAGCCTTAATCATAAAATGATGATGATCTGCGGCTTCCAAATCAATTGTAGTTTCAACCATCTCTTGATACTTTTCAAGTTCACTGTAATGTTCCTATAAATAAAGTTTGACATTAATTACACGAATGTTAATACCAAATGATATTCATCTAAATATTTACTTTGAGTTTTATATTATATATTTCATCAATAAGTTCTTTGTTAGAGTCATTCATGGAATCAAACAATTCTAAAGCTTCAATCAACTTGGGAAGCTTTAATACTACTTGATAGACACGTATAACATCCTAGTCGTAAATTTATTATTAATTATTGATTTTAATAAAAAAACTACTTCAAATGAAAAAGAAAGTAACAAACTTGTAACGATGCTATTCTCTTTTGGAATCGTTTTGCTAAGCGATGAAGGTCAGGAACGTTTTTCAAATGTTCTTCCTAAATAAATATCATTTACGTGATTATTAATAAGGTTATGGTTTTTTTAATTAATTAATAACGTACCCGTATAGATAGTCTAAGTTCCGTATCCTCCACCAAGATTTCTACCAATGATTGTCTTAGTTCTGTAAGATTGGGAACAAAAGATCTCGTTATCAACAACAAGAGGATCGATCGTGTGCAGATAGTGATAATAAAATAAAAATCCCTTATAGATAGATAAAATGTATCTCGTACCTATCTCTTTCAAATTCATTAATGGCTGTTTCAACCATTGACGCAACAGTCTAGTACCCTGAGCAGTCTTGCATTTATTCAAAAGTCCAAATAAGCTTGTGTTCTTATTTGATACTAAAGTTATAAATATAATAAAAATAAAAATGAAATTTGAAATTTGAAATTTGAACTAATTCCAAAATTACTTAATGTTTTTGTATACCTTCTTGGGTATTTGGCATCAAATTCAATGCTTTTAAAGCTGGAGTATCTAATTTCATATATTGTGACAAATCATGATGTCTCAAAATGTAATGGCCAAGATTATTTTCATCGGTCATAAGCTTTATATTACATAGTAAAATAGTAAATTAACAAATAAAAACGTAATAAACTTAATATTGTAAATTCAAGTTAATCCCTTACCGATAGATATTTAATAAGACTTGCGCAGGAAGCCATAGCATGCTTCATCTCAAATTCGGCTGAAATTAAGAAATTGAATTAATTAATCTTAATATTATATCGATTTGTTCATAAAATCGCGAAACTTACGAAGAGTCACCACAGATATATCATCACCCAGCAAGCGATTAAGGTCTTGTTCAATATCCTTGGTTGTAAAATCACCTGAAAACAAAAATGGAAAAAATATTTTTTTACTCGATTAAGACGTCCAATAAATTACAATCCATAATCGAAATCTCTAAATAAACAACTAAATAAATTACTTTTCTTGCGTTCAGTGACAACAATATCACATCTTTCAATGATATCCCTTAATTTTAATAAATCATAATCTTTTTCGTCTAAGGGAATCACACATTCTTTCACTCCAAGTTGAATAAGTAAAGACTAAATATAAAAATTAAAATACATCAATTTTATTTTGTTATTTTTTCTCGTGTTAAAAAAAATAATAATAGAAATTTCTAAATTACCTCAAAATTTGAAAACGATTCATTGTCAATAAATTCTGACACACCTAATTCTCTTATTGTTGTGTCGGCAAAGGAAACACCAACGATTTTTTGTTCTTTTTGAATTCCTAATTTAACTGATAATACTATAGGGGAGGCTGAAATTTCAACATCAGAGAATAAATGATCTTCAAATGCCTGAATATTTCCTGGAGAAGCCTATATATAATAATTAACTTGTAATGTCAGAGAATATATGATGACAAAAAAAAAGGAGACATCAACATACATTCTTAACTAATTTCCATTGACCCTTTGATCCTTGAACCCAAATCTCAATTCTCATTTGTTTATTTAATAAAGCATCACGTAAAAATGTGTCGCATGCCAAACGTGATAACGTGCAACTAGGAATTCCCTTATTCATATCACCTGTAATTGATTTGAACAAAGAATTAAAAATATATATAAATATTTGTTTATTTATTTTTTTAAAGTTAGATAATTGAAAGAATCGCGTACCGCCCAAGTATTTAATCACAGAGGAAGTTTTATAAAAATCTCGTGCGACATACAAAGCATCATCTCCATGAATACTATAATAATCCTATATTTCAAAGTCAAAAAGATTATTGATACAAGTTTCGATTTCTCAAAAGATTAATTATGACGGGTCAAAGGTAACCAACCCCATTACTTCTCTCGAATAATCGTATAGTGTTATTCGATTTCTATTATTAAAATTCAATAATAATTTAATTACGTAAATCAAAGATGTTCAAGAAACCCCAATAATATATATTACCTGCGGAAGCCCTCTGATAAAGGCACAAAATCCTTGTTCGCCTTGCTGGTTATCTAAAAAATAATATAATACGTAACACGATAAATTTATTGTTTATGTATATTTCTTTACTGATATTTATATATATATATATATTTATTTATAAGATCAATAATTTTCTTTTATATTTTTATTAGTTATAACTCCTCAAGACACACATGAAAAAAATTTTTTTTTAAAAAAAAAAAAAAAACAAAAAAAAAAAAAAGCGAAAAACTGTTTCTTTACTAACCAAACGTCAAGTCTGGTCTATCCTTTACTGAGGTAGTCATATTTGACATAGGCTTTAAGGTCTATATATATATAGATAAAAGTATATAACGCTGAAAATTACAAATAAGAATATTGGATATTGAATAAGTATCTTCTCGAAGAAAGTTCGGTCAACAATATGAACGCGTGTTAAAATTTTCGTGCGATAATCTATTGAATTGAAGTCACGTGTAATCTCGTAAAAACACTAATTGTATTTAATCCGAATTTCCCCAAATTTCCCGCTGTTTAATTGAATTTTGGAGCTCCAACCATCTCAATTCACACTTTTTTTAAAAAAAATCGTCAAACAAGAAACTTAAAGACTCTCCAAATATATACTCTACATGCGGAGCTCACGTGATCTATAGAAACAATTTTCGTGATACATGAATTTGACTCGATGATTATAGAGATGAAATTAAAGTTTGGATTTTCCAAAAAATATTTATTAAATTTCTTTTATTATGGGATAAACTGCGGAATGGGTCAAAGATGTGTTGTCATATGACAACTCATTTTGTTCAACGATTAATAATATCATTTCTTTCTGCGGTTAAACAAGACCAATAAAAATGATTTACGGTGGTATTTGATTTTTTTTGTAGTACGTAATCAGCTTTCCATAATAGACAAAAATACCAGAAACTGAACCCCAAAAATGGAAAAAATACATCCAAAATTTTATATAAATTAAACTTTAATGCTTAAAATAATTTGACTCTGATCCTAAACTTTCCAATTCACAAAAAAAAAAATTTTTTTTTTCTCCCTTGTTTTTTTTTGCCATTTACATAACATCTCCCTTGTTAAGAAAAAAATCGTTCAGTTTTTCCTTTAAATTTTCGTGGTATTAAAACCGAATCACTAGTCAATTCTTCTCTGTAGATATTTAGTTCTTTTAAAGATAGTTTATTAAGTATGGTAGGTGTTTTTTAACAATTTTTACCGTTGGTCACGTGAACAAGCAGTTCATTTCGTGAGTTTACGTTTTGGCTTTGTTCATATTATAAAGTACATTTTTGATATTTCTCATGATTTTTTTAAGTACTTTCTTTATAAAGTTTGATAAAAACCGCGTTTTTTTATTTAATATTCAGTTAGTTTTTTAATGTCAAAAACTCATCTTTTGAAACTTTAGTCGCGTTGGTTTCTGTTTTCTTCTTTGTACTATTTTATTTAACTAAATATGTAAACACCAAGTTATTCGATCAAATAAATTATAAATTTACTCCTAATAATAAAAAATTTCTTATTGCTTTTTTCACATAAGGCAACTGGCACTAAAGCACCCTTTGGCGCACCAACTACTGAAAATGGTGCTTCTGGAAATACTGGAAACGCTGAAAACTCCAACCACCAACAAAAACCTGAGAGACCTCCTGTCGTGTCCAGATCACAAAGGGCCGGCTTGCAGGTAAAACAATATTTTTATTTTATTTTACATGATATATTCCCATCATTATTACTGTGCACCTGTTTTATGTCAAGAAGAGAATATTTTTATCCATGTATTTTTTTATATCCATCCATTATTTGTTACTGCGCCACGATGATCTAATTCCCGTTTTTTTTTTCGCTTTTGTATAATAGTTTCCAGTTGGTCGTGTTCACCGTTATTTGAAAAAACGAACTTTGAATAATGCTAGAGTTGGTGCCAAAGCAGGAGTCTATTTAGCGGCAATTCTAGAATATCTTACAGCCGAGGTACTCGAATTAGCAGGGAATGCTTCAAAAGATCTGAAAGTGAAAAGAATTACGCCTCGTCATTTACAGCTTGCAATTAGAGGTGACGAAGAACTTGATACACTGATTCGGGCTACAATTGCTGGTGGTGGTGTATTGCCGGTAAGTCATATAAATAGGATCGATATATCCTTTTTTTAAAAAATGTTTGTGAATTCTATTCTTGTAATAACTTCTTTTTTTTTCCTTTTCTTTTCTAGCATATTCACAAAACACTTCTCAATAAGTCAAATCAAAAGTCAAAAAAATCTTCATAAACATTAAAACCAATATGCTAAAAGATCTAGAAGGTGAACATTTAAGGAATAAAATTTTTTCTTTCTTGAACGTTCTCTTTTGATCATTATATTAATTTTAATTTTGTGATCTATTGTTATAGTATTAGACGATTGGTCGAAATATTGTGACAGGAAGTTAAATAAATCCTCGGATGCGGTTAAAACGTTGAAATTGCACGATATTGCTATTCTTTTAATATTTTGTCTATTTTAATGCTTTGCAATAAGTGCTTTACGATTCCCGTATTATGGATTTCTTTTTTTTTTCATTAAAATAAATAAAATACAAAATAATATTTGTATTTTTTTTTCCAAAGGTAAAAAAAAAAAAAATTAATGTTGAGAAACACGGAATTAAAGAATAATTGTTTCCCATTTCATCCTATCAAAAAAAAAAAAAAAAATATTTTTAATAAATATAAATATGTTTGGTTGATTGATCTACAGAAATTTTAAATTATACATTATTTTATTTTAATTTTATTTTTTTTTTTAAAAAAAAAAAAAAAAAAAGAAAAAAAAAAAAACAACCAAAAAAAAAGGAAAAAGGAATTAGAATTATCTTAATAAAGATTAATAAAAAAGTAACAAATAACACAAGTATGATATTTCACAAATCAAACCAATCCTATGTATAATGGCTATTATTTAAGTTAAATTCTATGATTTTGCAATTTTGATTTGAAATGAACCTATAAATAATGATAAAGATTTAAATGTTTGAAAAACAATATAAAACATACATCATTATCATCGAAAATACAATTTACATTGCGGTAAAGAAGTTGTTTCAGCAATGACCACACTAACAACTCCCAAATTAGCAAGAGCTCCTCTAATTAATCCACAAGGAAACCAAAGATACTAAATAAAGAAATAAAAGTTAATAAACAAATTGAATACAATAAGAAAAATAAGAAATATGAATATTTTTTGCTACCGGAATTGCTTTCTTGGCTGCAGATTCACCACCAGCTTCAGTTGACATTCTAAGAAACCATCTAAAATTATTATCTTGAAGTACATAAACCCCCTAAAATACATAGATATATAAATATTCATATATATTTTTATTTTGAGATATATATATTTTTTTTTAAAATATTAGGTACATAATTCAATAAGAGAATTACCCTATGGTTAGTTTTCAAATTATCAATTTGTTTTTTAAAAATTATAGTCCATAAATCTTTACAAATGAATTTTACAACATCAAGAGTATCGACAAATCTAGGCCGGTCTCTAGTAAACCTATATATGAAATTAAACAGATAATTAACATTCACTCAAATTAATCCATAAATTGTTTGATCATTCCTTACTTTTCAACTAAACTTTGTCCAACTTGATAACCCAGCACCTCCAATTTATAATAAACAGCTTCCTTATCATTTTCCGAATCAGCAGTAGTTCTAAACATTAAATCTACCATTTCCATAAAAAGGAATTCTAAACAACTTTCATTAACCTGTGAAGGCTTAACATTAATATTTCCTATTCCACTGAATCCACCTAAAATCGATGTTGTGGAGCCACTTGAATTTGGTGCAGTTCCCCCTCCTGACATGGTATCATCTCCCGAAGCTAACGAGGTAAAAAATGGCGTTATGGCCGACGATGCCGTTTGTAGTACTGACATTTTTTTTCTGTTAAAAATAAACAGATCTAAGGAAAAAAAAAAAAAAAAAAAGGCGGTTTTTAAAGTGTGTTTAAAAACGTGAGAGTTTATTATTTCTGGTGTATATGACTAGTACTAATTTGTATTAGTTGATCAATTCACGTGAATCACGTGAAACTAAAAAATTAACGTTATATATTGTACAGTACATTAAGCAATGACAAATTAAAGGTTTAAAATAAATAAATAAATATCTAAATTTATGAAGCGGTTGATGATGTTAAAAGTACTGGAACTGGAATATCCCAATACTCCAATTGCTGTATAATTAATCGATTAAATTGTATGAGGTATGAAGATAATAAATCTTTAATTGAAATTATCGCTTCAATGTATTTCTCAGGTAACGACTCCAATAGTTGATTTATGATGCTCTTCGTGGATTCAATCTAAAAATTAAAAATTTTCACTTTATGAGATTTAAATTAAATTAAATATATATATATATAAGATAATTTTAAATAGATTGAACCTCGGATTTAGCTGCTTCGTTGATCTTTTCTTGATACATTTGACTAAATCGTTCGATAGACGTCAAACTTTCTGAAAACCGATGAAAAGTATTGAAAAGCGCGACAATTTCTGTACGTGTCAGTAAGTTGGGGTTGACTTTTGGACTAATAAGTATAGTTAATCATATTAGCATCAATATAATGAATGGTTTACTTGAATTAATCAATTGTTAGTATACTTTACTTGAAAAATTCGTCTTCATAAGAAAATAGAACTTTTAAAGCGGTTCCAAGTCCGGAAATTTGTAATTTACCCCATAATCGACATTTATCACATCCAACACAATCCATTATACGCGACACATTCCTAAATCTATTTTTGAATTCCTCTTTTAATGACCGTGACTCGGGAGAAGCAAACATTTGTTTTTCATCAAATGTCTCTGGACATGATCTTGTTTTATTTACAAGTTCACCAACCATTGCTTTTACTTGTAAATCTTGAATTTTGTCTCCAGTACAGAACTCATAACCATTTAGATAATCTGCGGCTTTTGATATGGCTCTCAGAAGTACCACATAACTAAAATATATATTTTGAAGACGTTCCGGATGTGAGCCAATGCGATTGATGAAACATTCGAGATTTGGTCCCTAATTTTTAATAATAAAGGTATTAAATAAACATAAATAAATATAAAATATTAAAATCATATGACATTTACAAAACATTTACCCATTGACCAGTGGTTTGATTTAAATATTCATCACAAATATGGATAGAAATTGAAGAATGCAAACCTAAAAGTAAATCATTTAATATTTATTTTTACTCATAAAAGCGGATCAACGTGTAGATAACTTTACCGGATATC